ATTAATATTCTTTCGTTTTTATTATTATTTAATTTAGATTCTTTGCGACTAGTTTCGGCCAACAAGGTCATCATCAGGAGAAAAAAATTCTGCTTGCTTGTAGCAGTGAACTACAGAAAATGAATGTTTTGATGGAGAAAATGAACTTTTCTCTGTAGTTTTCATTTGTTTTTTTTTTTTATTTTTTAACATGAATTTTGGTCAGTCCTTGTGTTGGTCAAACAGTCTCTTTTAAGTTGGTATTTGAGATAAGAGCTGGATGGATTCATGCTGCTCTGAATTCCCTTCATCATTTTGACAGTTTTATTGGTTACTGGAAAGGGGATGTGTCTCTGTTACTGTGTGTGTGTGTTATTTGGTTTTTAGTGAGTGAGTATAATGTGTGCAAGCCTGTATATTACTATATGGGTGTGTGTTATCATTTGGCTCATTAGGGAGTGAGTGAGTATGATGTGTGTAAGTGTGTATATTCGGGTGGGTGTGTATATAAGTGTGAGGCCTGAACACCTCCATAGGTCTGTCTTCTGTGGGTGAGAAATGTGGGTAGGTCCTGATTTGTGGGGTTATATATCAATACTATCTATATTGTTAAATTTATGATTATATATATATATATATATATATATATATATATATATATATATATCCTCTCCCTGTCTTGATATATATATATATATATATATATCCTCTCCCTGTCTTGATATATATATATATATATATATATATATATATATATATATATATATATATCTCCCCTCTCTATATATATATATATATATATATATATATATATATATATATATATATATCCTCTCCCTGTCTTGATATATATATATATATATATATATATATATATATATCTCCCTGTCTTGATCTTGATATATATATATATATATATATATATATATATATATATATATATATATATATATATATATATATCAGTAAAACTTCATCGTTCCACATAAAAGCTGTACAAAAGTGCGTACAAAGAGCAGAAAAAATAAAGATTTGGGGATGGCGTCATGGCTTAGACGACCGTTCGAAAGTTGTTTGTCAGGTTAAAAACGTTTCATTTGGCTTGGTTGATTTTGTTTAGCGGCATATCAACACCTCTGTGCGTTATTTAATGCTGAAATCTAAATATTTTTAAAGCATTGTCCATGCCTTCAACTGTAGATAAAATATATTGTTTGTCATTTTGCTATAAAATTGCAAGTAATATTACTATCAATAGGTGTGGTTGGTCATTTTTTAATATAAAATGTATTGCTGTATTATGTACCATAAAAATATATTTTTGGTGCTTTCATATTATTTTGTTTTTGTCTGAGAAGATCCCTTGTTAGACGTAGGTCTTGCTCAGATTCATGGGAAGTAATGAGCAATTACCCTAACGCTCTGACCCAAGGCGGTTTGGTTGGTTAGTTAGTTCGTTGGTTGGGGGAATTTGTTTAGTCACATATCACCCTCTATGGGTTATTTAATGCCGAAATCTAAATATTTTGGAGGCAATTTTATGTCTTCAACTAAAGATATTTCGAATGTAATTGTATGCCTTTAACTACATATAAAATGTATTGTTAGTCATTTTTCTATAAATAGGCATTGTTGGTCATTTTGGTTGTTTGGATAGTTGGTTGATTTTGTTTTGCGACATATCGATACCTCTATGGGTTATTTAATGCCAAAATGTAAATATTTCGGACGCAATTTTATGGCTTCAACTAAAGATATTTTGAATGCAATTATATGCCTTCAACCACATATAAATTGTATTGTTGATCATTCAGCTCTAAAATGTAATGTTCATCATTCTACTATAAAATGTATTGTTGATCATTCTACAATAAAATGTATTATTGTCATTGTACTGTAAAATGTATTGTTCGTTATCCTGCTCTAAAATTTATTATTGGTTATTCTGCTATAAAATATATTGTTCGTCAGTCTGCTTTAAAATGTATTGTTGGCCATTGTCGCCTAAAATAGATTGATAGTCATTCTAGTCTAAAATATATTATTATTTATTCTACTCTAAAATATATTATTGGTTATTCTACTCTAAAATGTATTGTTGGTTATTTTGCTCTACAATGCATTATTGGTCATTGTACTCTAAAATGTATTAATGGTTATTCTGCTCTAAAATATATTGTTGGTTTTTCTACTCTAAAATGTATTGTGGGTTATTTTGATCTACAATGTATTATTGGTCATTGTACTCTAAAATGTATTAATGGTTAGTCTTTTCTAAAATATATTGTTCGTTATCCTACACTAAAATGTATAGTTATTCATTATGTACTAAAACGTATTGTTAGCCATTATGTTAATAAGTAAGACTTCTATCACTAAGTGGTCATTATATCTCGAAAAAATTCTTACAAAATATATTTCTGGCTTTAAATAACCTGCAGATTGATGATAAGCTGTATAAAGCGAATGAATTATTTAATGAAATACTGATTATCTACACAGGCATGTCTTTTAGATTTATTTACTTTCTGTGAATATAAAGTTGGGGATCAGTTTATATATTGATTGTAACACATAATTGATCTCCCATTTTATATTCACGTTATAATTTATGTTTTGTTTTTGTGAATTCTGATTAGGTATAAATCCCCGTCTTCTCCCTCGGCTATGGTTTAATTAATAAGATTTGTATAAAAAAGAAATTGTTACAATCTAAAAATATTTTCTGGCTTTAAATAACCTCCAAAGGGTTGATAAGACGTAAAAATTGTTAAGATTGGCATTCCTAAACGATTATTCAGTGAAAAAAATTACAATCTAAATAGATTTATTTACATTCTCTGGAATATAAACGCATAGACACTACCGTGTCCGTAAAGTGGGTGGTCAGTTTATATATAGATTGTAATATAGAATTATCCCCCATTTTGTATCCACATTATAATTTCTTGTCTGTTTATCAAATTCTGATTAGGTATTAAACCACCTCTTTTCCAGCGTAAACCAATGGGTTAATTACTAAGACTAGTATCACTAAATCATCATTATCTTTAACGAAAGATTCTGAAATTCTAAAAATATTTCTGGCTTTAAATAACCTACAATGTATTGATAAGCAGTAGAAAACGAACCAATCAAAAAACTGAATGAGTCAATGGCGAGGACGTTGGTTCTCTTAATGATTTCAGGAAAATATTTAATGGAATGCATTTCCATCAGTAATTCTTTGCGCAAACGCACTAAAGACGATCCATCTCTTAAAAGAAAGATGACGAGTGATGAAGAATAAAAAGATGAAGCAGAAACTCTCTTGGGGAAAACAATGCAATGAGCCATCGATATCAATTATGTGCCATGCGTGATACACGCTTAGGCGATCATGTATCTTTCAATATATGACTAACAAGGAAGATTTTTTTTCCTGCAGTTGGTTGCCATTTCTTTCTGCGGTAGACCAGCTGCCACCAAATGCTATAGAACCCGGTCTGTCCTGCTATTTACCCATAACTAGGGGGGTGGATAGAAGAAGAGGATTCATAACTTTCCCAGGGGTATTAGCACCGAAGTGAATGTAATGGATTTGACTGGAATTCGAACTCGGCTCTCCGATTTCTCAATCTGTGCCGCTATCCATTACTCCACCGTGCCTCCTCTACTCCATCTATAACCGATCCAAAATCCGTAGTAGTTGCTGATGAATAACTGGTGGGATTTGGTTGAGTGATTGATTTGTTTTCTACGGTTTATCAACCATTTGTACGTTATTTAAAGCCAGATGGTTATTTTCTCCTTTTTCTCCTTTTTATTTTCTGTTTCTATTTCTTTTTTTCTATTACAGATAAACCTCTCATCAACGGACTAATAGAAGGGATGGGTGGTTCGTTAAATTCGATTGTCCGTAAATCGGAAGGGATTATTTTTGAGTTATAAACAACTATAGTAACTGCCAGTAGTTGTGATCATAATGTAAATACTATAAACATGTATATATGGCATAAATAAATATAGACCTAATAGATATATTAATCAAAAGAAGAAAAATAACTGATTTCTCACAGCTACTTTCTCACGCACGCGCTAATATGCCGTACTTTATATACTGTACACCCGCCTTTGTTTACAATTGAAAGGCCAACCGCTGCCGTCAAGCGGTCACTTTAAGTCTCCTTCTGCTAAGCCCGCAAATTTTGTAATACATCGCTGACGATTTGTTTTTTTTTGTTTTTTTTCTTGCATTTTTTTTTATTTTGCCTGCAGATTTTGTCCGTTGCATCCGAAATCTGTTCATACGGTTGGGGCGGGGGTTCGTAGATGAGGGGTTTGTCTGTACAACTACTACTTCTTTCTCTTTTCTTCTTTTTCTTTTCTTATTTTTCTTTTTCTCCTTCTTTTCTTCTTTTTTCTGCTATTTTTCTTCTTCATCCCTATACTACTGCTACTACCACTACTTTTATTCTTGTTCTTTTTCATTATCCACATACTACAGCTACTGCTACTTTTTCTTCTTCTTCTTCAATCCTATTACTACTAATACTACTACTATTTTTCTTCTTTTTCTTCTTCATCCCTACACTAATACTAGTATTAATTTTTCTTCTTCTTCGTCATTCCTATACTACTACTACTACAAGTACTTCTACTTCTTATTTTTATTTTCTTTTTTTCTTCATTCCTATATTACTACTTTTCCTTCTTCTTCATCCCTATGCTACTACTACTACTACTACTTCTTTTTCATTCCTATACTTCTACTATTCTACTTTTTCTTATTTCTTCTTTTTCCTTCTTTTTCTTTTTCTCCTTCTTTTCTTCTTCTTCTACTACTACTAATTTTCTTCTTCAAATTCTATACTACTACTGCGTCTACTTTTCTTCTTCCCCTTCCTTCCTATACTACTACTACTTTACCTTCTTTGTCATTCCTATACTACTAATACTACTACTTCTGGATTTTCTTCTTTTTCCTCTTCTTTTCATTCCTATACTACTACTACTAATACTACATTTTCTTCTTCATTCGTATGCAATTACTTCTACTTCTATTTTTTCTTTTTCTTCTTTCCTTAACTACAACTACTACTAATTTTTCTTCTTCTTCATCCCTATACTACTATTATTTCTTTTGCCTCTTCTTTTTTCTTCATTCCTATACTACTTTTACATCTATTTTTTTATTATTTATACTTATACTACTACTACTTTTTCTTCATCTTTTTCTTAATTCCCTAACAACTATTGCTACTACAGTTTTTTCTGATTTCATTCCTTCTTCTTCTTCTTCTTCTTCTTCTTCTTCTTCTTTTTCTTCTACTACTAATACTGCTACTACTTTTCCTTTTCCTCTTTTTAATTTTTTCCTTTTTCCTCATCTTTTTTATTTCCATTCTTCCTTCTACTACAACTTCTTTTTCTTTTTCTTCTACTTCTTTTTTGGTTCTATTCTATCTTCTATGGCTACTGCTATTGTTTTTTTCTTCTTTTTCTTTTTTCACCTTGTTTTTCTTCTTTTTCTTCTACTTCTCTTCCTTTTTACTTTTTCCTCTAATAATACCCCAGTTTTCTGATTCCAATCTTTCTTCTTCTTCTTTTTCTTCTTCTTCTTCTTCTACTACTACTACTACTACTACTACATTTTATTTCTTCTTCATCCTTTTCTTCTTCTTCATCCTCTTCTTCTTCCTCTTCTTAGGTTACGATCTTTCTTTTCCACTTGCTTTCATTTTCGTTCTTTTCTCGATTTCTTCTTTCTGTCTTTTCTATTCTTTATTACCATGACCTCCTTTCTTTTTCTTTCAGCTCTTTCTCTAGCCGCTGCTCAACTCCCACGCTTCCATCTCACATACAACTGCGCATTGTAACTGCTTATAAAAGAATAAACCTGGCAAGGATACTTCTCTCCTCTCGCTGATAAAAATAACAAACAATGTCAAAGGACAGCATAACATTCTATAAACTACCCTTGAAGACATGACTGCTGGTTTCCACCAACGCAACCCCCAGCAACAATAGCTTTCAAAGGCCATAAACGATCGTGTAAAACTATTTCTACTGATTTTGCCAGAACGACTCGTCAAAATCGAATTTTATTTGTGCGTGGCGCCTTTTTTGGCTTCTTTTGATTGCATCACGAGGTACAAAAACTATTTTAGATATATTTAACGAGATATATATTTTTACAGTAAGGTTCACACTGTAAAAGGATCGAGGGCCACCCGAGGTAGAATATTAGGAAAAGGGGTATATATGAATAAGAGGGGAAGATAACGGTTAACCTTAAACTGAAACAGGTTAAGACTGTAGTGATCGGGGATGCGAACTTCTTGGGAATCGTTTCCACGTAAAAGTGGTTCTTGGGGAGAGGATGCTCCAAACGTACATCTCACCAAAGGTTTACAAAGGGAATGAGGGTGGTTCGCTTTTCTGTGCGTGGCATGACAGGTCTTAGTCCTTAAGGTCTGAACTGGTGGAACTAGGATAACGGTTAACTCTAGACTTGATTATAGTGATCGGGGAAACAACCTCTTGGGAGTCTGTTCCATAGAGCAGTAGCTCGTGCGAAGAAGCTGACTAAGGGGAACTTACTTATTTCTGAGGGAATACGGAGGGGATATGGGTGGGGTTTGCTACAATGTAATTGACATGGCGGGTCCTAGCCGTGAAGGTTAGACCAGGCGGTACAGGAATGTAGTTTGTCGGAGCACTTTCCATGGTAGTAGCGATAGAGCAGTGAGAGAATCGCCACATCTCACCTGTGAGACAGAGATTGCAGAGTTGAAAATAATTCTTCTCTAACAAGGAGTCGAAGATGCTTTTGAATTCTACCAAGACTGGGAACTAAGGACTGGGCAGCTCCCACCCAAATATGACAGCAGTATTTTCGGATAGATCTGAATCTTATAAAGGTAGATGATAGCATGGAGTAGTCAAGTACTTATTGGGATGCCTACTAATTTATAGCATCAATCTTTCAGATCTTTAGTATTATGAAGGAGACAACAGTGTCGTTGATCGAATGTCGTTGTTCGATGATGGTATTTAAAATGACTTTCTATTTCTTTAAATATTTTTTTACGGTAAACTTCACTCTGCACAAGGCGCGGGGGGTGGCACTCGAAGTAGAGGGTTACGTTAATGGGTTGTTTATATAGATAGGAGGGGAAGATAACGGTTAACGCTAAACTTGAACAAGATAAGGTGGAAATGATCTTCTTGGGAGTCTTTTCCACAGAGCAGTGGTTCTCGCGAAGAAGCGGTTCAAGGGGAACTTACTTCCCGCCGATGGAACCCGTAGGAAATATGGATGGTTTGCTACAATATAAGTGGCATGGCGAGTCCTAGCCGTGAAGGTTAGACCTTGCGGAACAAAGGAATGTAGTTTGTCCGAGCACTTTCCATGGTAGTAGTGATAGAGCAGAGAAAAGAGAGAGAGAGAGAGAGAGAGAGGGGTCAGAGAGTGGAAAATAAGTCTTCCCCAACAAGGACTCGGAGACGCTTTGAACTCTATCAAGACTGGGAACTGAGGACTAGGCAGCTCCCGTTCAAATATGACAACTGTATTTTCGGACTGATCTGAATCTTATAAAGGTAGATGATAACATGAGTAGTCAAGTACTTATTGTGATGCCTACTGATTTATAGCTTCAGTCTTTCAGATCTTTAGTACTATGAATTTTTAACTACTCTTCATTCATAAAATTTCGGTTGTCCGATAAGTAGAAATAGACGTTATACGAGGGTCGGCAAAAAGGTTCATAGGCTCACCAAGATACTCTCATGAAATGTGACCAAATGAGGTTTATTTTTCAAAATATTCTCCCGTGTGGACCACACACTTCTATCGGTGACTTATGTGTTGGGGCATTGTCCTGATGAAACAAGACCACTTTCGTCAGTTTCCTGGACGTTTGGTCTTGATAACCTTTCATAACTGTCTCTGCAAGATGGCATAGAATTCTCCATTGATGGCGTGGCCCTTTTAAAGATAGTAAAAGGACAAAATCCCTTGCGCATCCCAATAAACTGAGTCCATCACCTTCAGTGCAGATGAAACATCCTTGGTCTTCTTTAGAGCAGGTGAGGAGGGGTATTTCCACTGCATGGAAAGGTATTTCCACTGTATTTGTTTCTGGCTCAAAATAATGAAAACACTCACCCTGGCATTGTGCTAGCTCAACTTTGAGACTGATATGAATAAGAAGAATACTTTATCAACATGTAATGAAGCTATTTATTTACACCTAAATTTGAATACAACGGTTAACATAAACACAGTGTCTTTCCTATATAGAGAGAATATGTCAGGCCGACTTACCCATCTGGTGAAGTGAAATAGGGCTAGATATTTAGTACGTTTTTAAACCCTCGGAAACTGGTGTCGTTGGCGGCGGAGAGAATTTCTTGTGTGTTGCTTCGAAGCAGGTCCCGTCCCTTCTCTCTGGTGGTCAGCTTTTTTTTGAAACCACGTGTTTTTATTAATCAATGAGAGACCGCCTAAAATCATGTGACCAATCTCTCTATATAGAAGCAAATCCAACACTGGGTTAAGAAAAGTTCAAGGAAACCAGCAGGATTTGACCCAATTTCCGATTTTGATCAGCCTGGTGAGCTTTTGATCAGGTGTCAGAAGACGTGGCACCCACAGAACAGAAACTTTCGTCATGCCAAGCTCATTGGAAAGAATATTCTCAACACTCTCATGTTAAACTGAAATCTAACAGTTCAAACATTTCAAAAGTAATTGGTAACAATTTCTCTTAAAAATGGACAAAAGTTGGCATCGTTGTGTTGTCATGTTCCGCAGAAGGTTTTAGTCCCCAAGGACATTCATGCCTCAAAGTGATGAACCCCAACCCTTATCTTGTGTTAGGAAAGGTACAAGATAAACAGCTGGATCTGCTTCAAACAATGTCAGATCTTTCCGTGATGTTATCAGTCTGGTGCGCTTTTGATAAGATGTCAGAAGACGTGGCACCGACCAAGCAGAAACCTCCGTCACGGATCTTCAAGGTAACAGGTTTCCCTGAAGGTCCGGTTAGGTGAAAGCTAGGTAGTCTTGCCTGGCTCATTAGCATTTATTCTAATATATATATATATATATATATATATATATATATATATATATATATACAATTTTATATACAATCAAATATATATATATATATATATATATTATGTACAAGTTTATATACAATCATATATATATATATATATATATATATATATATATATACAATTTTGTATACAATCAGACAAATGTTTCACGCTTTTTGCGATCATCAGACAAACGCATATATATATATATATATATATATATATATATATATATATATATATATATATATATATATATATATATATATGGGGGGAGACAATGATATATACATTTTTATAGACCGGAATAATGTTACAAAGTCATTGATAAAATGTGAAAGAATTTTCGCGCACACTTAAAAATTCAATTTGTCATTGACTTTTCTAACACACACACACACACACACACACACACATATATATATATATGTATATATATATATACAATTTTATACAATCAGACAAATGTTTCACGCTTTTTATGATCATCAGATAAACGCATATATATATATATATATATATATATATATATATATATATATATATATATATGGCGGGGAGAAAATGATATATACTTTTTTATAGACCGATAATGTTACAAAAGTCATTGATAAAATGTGAAAGAATTTTCGCGCACACAAAAATTCAATTTGTCATTGACTTTTCTAACATATATATATATATATGTGTGTGTGTGTGTGTGTGTGTGTGTGTGTGTGTGTGTGTGTGTGTGTGTGTGTGTATCTTATCTTTCGCTTTTTTTGTAGAGGTCCCTACTTTAAATCGTAGAAATTGGAACCACGTTATTAGGGCTGCGTGCAACGTCTTTGAGGATCATTGTCTCTGGCATGCTCAGATCAAGCACCGAAGATGCACTCACTTTGATTTGTCTAACTAATATGTAGTCGTTGAAATGTGGTTCGTGCGAGCGCATGTCGTTGTCGAGGGCAGGTTATGTAAACCATTTGAAAGGTCATCATAACAAACAAAATCAAGCTAACTATCCCCATCTGCCTCGTCGGCCTAATGATAATACCTGTGTTATTTGCAACAAGCTTTGCAAGTCATCAGGACTAAGGAGACACATGGTGGTATACAGAAACGTTTAGGAAATGTAGATTCAGCCAGCCCAATCAAGGATACAAAGTTTATCTGTCATACAGGTTGATGGATAAATCCTCGTCTAAATCATGCAAAAAATAAAGCCGGCATTGGCTTCAACCATGGCCTCAAGACGACTTCAGAATCGCCAGTGTCTCTTCTGGACGGTGTCTTTGTTTAACTTGGTGAATGCTGCCATAATCCTTGCCTGCAGTTCATCTTTGGAGTTTTGTTGATCTCTCGCTCAACTGTGCTCCATACAATAATTAAGGGAGTTGCGGTCCGGGGAGTTACGTGGCCAGATGTAAGGTGTGATGTGGCTGCAGAAATTGCCTGACAGTCATGACTAGGTTCTGTTTCTTATGTGGCATGATACAGAGTCCTTTTGCCAGACATAGCACTCTCTTGACCCAGGACATCACTACCCACTTAAGGCATTTGATGTTGGCCTTCTGTTGAGTTCGAAACCCTAGTCAAGAAATTTGAGAGTTATTTTCTTATCAGAACAATCAGAGTGATTTTCCGTGCTGCCGTACCTTCGTAATCACCATTAATCCAACTATTTCCTCTTCAGTGTCCTCAGA